ATGGGCTCTATGTCCTTTCCATCTTCCTCAGTAAGGAGGAGAATGTCTTGGGCATCAGGCGGGGTTCTCCCTGAGCCTGGCCTTCATAATTCTATTCCATCACAGGTTCCAATCCATGCCACCTTGCATATGTGTTCAATGATACACGTATAACAGGGGTGGGGCTTGAATTGTGTGCTATGCCTGCCATCTTGCAGATTTTGACTCCTGCTGCAGACACTGTTGTTCATATCTAACATAAAACGAGGCAAAGACAGAGTTTAAATATTGTGCTGTGCCATATTTTGGTTCTGGCTTAGCATGTTATACAAATCTAGCTATTATGATTTGTTCAACATCTTGTTGAAACTTGGTTGTGTTAATTTAATAAATGATGGTTATTTATTTATCAAATTTATATGGCCACCCATCTCTCACAAAGTGACTCTGGGCGGCATACAATAAAACCAGCAATTAAAACATTCTCCCAAAAAGGTACAGGTTGTTACTTATAAAACCCTACATGGCATAGGACCTGTTACTTGAGGGACCACCTGTCTCCCATAGCATCTTCCCGGCTCATTCAATCCTGCAAGGTTAGTGCGCTCTGGGTTCCTTTGATTAAGCAATGTCATGTATCTGGACTCCAGAAGCACACCTTCTCTGTAACAGCGCCTGCCTTCTGAGATCCCCCTGAGGCTCCCACTGAGATCCAGATGGCTCCCACTCTCCTGTTGTTGAGAAGAACTGTGAAAACCTGGCTCTTCTTGGTGAGGGTGAGTGAGACCCCTCGCTTCATCGAGCTTGCCACGATTTATCTTTTATTGGTTTTATTATAATTTCTTTGATTGTTGTGAGCTTCCCAGAGTCACTGAGATTCAGGCAGCATACAAGTTTAATATATTGTTGTTGTTATTATGATTACCCATCTCTGACATGTCCGAATAGGATGACACTGGTCACGTGGTACCTTCTGGAAATCAATGTAACTGAAAACACTACACAGGATAGACTGTGTAAATATAGAAAATTCCACCTGCCCCAAGAGGGTGATGGTGGAAGTCATGTGAAACCCTGTATGTGGGGGCTGACGTAAAAATGAATTTATTTTTAAGCTCCTTGGTTGCATTTAACAGTGGGGGTTATCATAATCAGTAAATTATTGCTAGGAGTTGCTTTTTTTACAGTCCTGAACTACAAAGAGGACAGTGTAGCTCTTTGTTCATTTAATAATGTAAGACTGGGAAAAGTCTCTCCCTAACAAATCATGAATCCTATAACAATAGAGTCTGACAAATACTAATAGGAATCAGGAGTACTTTTGAAATGGAAGTAGAGTAAAGGTCACTGGAATGTCACAAATTCTTTGTATTCTAGCTAGAAAACAAAGATAACCTGAACATTGTATTCTTTCAAGGTTTTGCAGCTGTTCTGGTGAACAAAATATTGCTCTAAAGTAAATACACTCTCACAGAAATGTGCACATTCTCTTGAAAATAAATACCTCTCCAAAATACTTTTTATTTAGAAGACTTGCTCATGTTGCAAATCATCCCAAGTCTTTCAAAATACAATGAACTACAGCCACAGTTGTATGCTTATACATTATGACAACTGAGAAACATCCATTCAACCTGTGGCCTATAGACACAAAACTGTCCTATAGTAATCTGTCCCTAATTCTATGTGTGTGTCCCAGACCCTTCTCAGCTATTGCCAATTTTTGATAAATCTGTTAACGTCAAAGTTATTCATTTTCAAATTAGGTAAACTGAAAAAGGATGACTGGAAGGTCAATCAACTTAGAAAAAAAATCAGTGGGGTTTAAGAAAAGTATTGGGAGTTTACTATTTTTCACCCTGATCTGGCTTTGATTCAAAATGTTTGTGTAGCTATGTCATAACAGAAGGCTAGCCATTTCTTAGTTTTAAACTGTAAGAGAGATTTGACAATCCTCGATATGAATCAAGCATCTTTAGTGCTACACTGATGATAATTATATAATCAAAGCTTTGCTTAATCAGAGAAGAAATCAGTATTACTCAAGCATATCTACCTCATAATGTTTTTTTGAGGATAAAAATGAGCAATCCCTTGAATTCTAGTGTAACAAATGACAAAACAAAGTAGAGAGAGAAAGAGAGAGAAGTAACAATAGCAAAAATTTGCATCAGGCATCTGTCTCATCTGATCACAAAATTATTAGTGTTGAAAAATCAGAAAAAAATCAAGATATTACTTGCAATCCTATGCACTGTTGATTTAAGCTCAGTACAACCCCCAACAGATATGGACGAAGTTGGGCAGGAAGGCTGCAGTTTTAGGTACAGTATTTCCAGTTCTAATTAGAACTTTTAGGAGTAGCAGTGTGTTTGATTCTTATTTATAGCTAGTCAATTTACCTAAAACTACGATTTATGGAGGAAAGCGTTAGTCTATAGTGGTAAAAAATCAGGAGTCTGGTAGCATCTTTTCTGACTATCACAACATTAGTACTATTGCAAGTACAAGTACACACACAAGAATAGAGCCTTCACATGCTTCTCTAATGTAATATATGCCACTATCTGTCAGCAACGCCCCTCTGGATTCTACATAGCACAAACAGGATCACGTTTGCACAAAAGAATTAATGTGACATCAGGACTCAAAACAAAGTCAACCTAGTATCAGAGTGTTTCAACCTCTCAGGTATTCTATAGTTATAGTGACCATATTTTTTTGGAAAAAATAAAGGACAAACCTGAAAAAGGGGCAAATCTGAAAGAGGTTCACAAGGATAAAAATGCTAATTTTTTATGTTTATAACTTTGCTTTACAAAGGAAAATTCAAAGTAAAACGAAGCAAATTTTACAAAAAGGCGTACTAATAAAAATACTTAAACCAGTTTATGTAAATTTTAAAAAGATAATTCAATTTCCATATTTTTCACATGAATGTGAACGACTGCATTAAGTGGTACCATTTGCATGAACAAAAGGACAAAAGTGAGTTTTTGAAAAATAAATCTAAAGGACAGCTTTCTGAAACAAAGGACTGTCCTTTATAACAAAGAATGTACGGTCACTGTATCTTGTACATTATACAGTGTATATTATACACTGCACAGTGTATAAGGACACTCTACAGGTGGTCCTTGTGTTATGACGACAACTGGAACTAGAATTTCTGTTGTTAATGCGGTTGTAAAGCATGACATCATGTGACCATATCACTTAGCAACAGCAATCCTGACAGTCATGGTTGCCACTGTAATCCCAGGACCATGCAGATTGTTAAGTGAGGACCTCATGTGACCACGATGTGGGAAGAGGTGGGAGTCCCAGGCAAGCAGACCAGCGGGTGAGAGCTGCAGGTGAGAGCTAGCGGTGGGTGGATGGATGCCACAAGCAGGCACTACAGAGCATGGGCGGGCGGGTGCTGCCGGCGGCCGCTCCGGAGTACATGTGGGTGGGTGCTACAGAGTGTGGGTGGGTGGGTACCACGGGTGGGTGGGCAAAAAAGTGGCAGGAGCGGAGGCAACTTGCAGAAGTAATTTGCGACCTCCTGGTGGGTTCCTCATTGACTTTGCTTGTGGGAAGCTAGCAAGGAAGTTCGCAAATAGCGATTGTGTAACTATGGGGCACTGCAACTGTCATAATTGTGAGTCAGTTGCCAAGCGCCTGAATTGTGATCACGTGACTGTGGGGATGCTGTGACAGCCACAACCTCAAGCACCAGTCTTTGAACAGTCACTGAACAAGTGGTCATAATCCGAGGACTATCTGCAGACTTCATAGTGATTGTTTTGGAAAAACGGGACTAACTCCACTATTAAGCAAAAGGTTGCTGAAGTCACATATATCAAAAGATTTCAGACAATCTCAGATCTCAGCAAACCGAATGGGTCTTTAACCCATTACAATTGTTAATACTGTAGATAAGGTACTTATAAACTGCCTCTCATGTAATTTGCATCCACACAATCAACTTGTCTTCCCCTCCTTTCTCTCTCCCCACTCCACCTCACCCCAATTTAAATCATACATCAGCTTAGCCGCTCCGTTGCATCTGATGAAGTGAGCTGCAATAAAATTTGCTAGTGTGAAAAGCTCCTTTTGATGTTTTGAATTCAGCACTGTAACTAAAACAAAAAACAAAAAAATGACAGACAAGGTGATGCGCGAGAGGAAGCGGACGACAATATGGAACGACGTTTCCCTTTCTAACGTCATAAATTAAGCCATAGGTAACAGAATACCAACGCCTGACTCCACTGCGAAGGGGGTGAGTTCTGTTGCCATGGTCACTGGGCCTTGCAAGCGCGTACTTTCCGATAGGGTTTCAGTGCTCTTTCTGCTCTGTCTTCCGCCCTTCGTCCTCTCTATTGTAGACAGTTCTTGCGGCAACCGTGCTGCAACTCTATGATTGGAGGCGGTGTTCTCCTTGTGGCTCCTCCCCCAATGCCTCAAAGGAGGCATTTGTGGCAACAGCGGTAGGAGAAGCGGTCTGGTGAAGGTGAAGGAAGGTGTAGGAATCTGAAAGGTGAAGGCTATAGGTGCGAGGTATGGAACGAGGGGATTACCTTGGCGACGGGGGATGGAGGAAGAGAGACGGGAGTAGGCGGTGCCACCGGAGAATGAGTGGCTGGCCGCGAGATGGAAAAGTAGAAGCGTTAGCGTCGCAATACCTTGGCGACGAGAGGGAGCGGGGAATTGGAACGTTACCCTGGCAACGGAACCGGGGGCATGTGGTGGTGGAGGAAACCCGTGGAGACCTTGGAAACTCGTGCCCAGATTGGCGCCAAAAACGAGGGGGCTGCTGGCAAAGATACCGGAATGATCCCAATTTTGTGTCAGTCAGCTGGCAGTCTTCATTATCAGAAAGAAAGGATCAACACGTAAAATATCATTCTTGTGGTTGCATTTAGTCATAGAAGTAGACTAGGCTGAGGGGTGCTATTCCCCTGATTAATTGGGTAACTTTGGAAACGGTTGATGCTTATTGGCCTTCTCTTTGAGGATCTGGTGGATTGGGGTGGAGGGTTGAAAGTCTTGATTAGGAGCAAGGAGACCAAGATTCTAGTCCTCCCTCAGTTATGGAGGCTCACTGGGGGGTTGGGACCAATTGCTTTCAGTCTACTCGACCTCAAAGGGTTGTTGTGGTGGAAAAATCTTGTCCTGCATTCAGATATAAATGCATAGTAAATAAAAGTACTGAATTGCTTGAAAAGAACAGTGCTTTGCAGCTACTGAATTTAAGATGGGTACAGCCTTGAGAATACTGCCTCAGGGAAAGGTATTGATGAGAGGCAATCACCTTAGTCAATAGGGCAGAAGAAGAATGTCCTGAGATTTTTGATGTAAAATGAGCAAAATAAGGGCAGGAGCTTGCTACGCTGATCATACTGAACCACAAGATGTTAAACTCATATATTACTTTAACAGGCTGAAATGGTGACACATACATAACAAGCTTTTGGAGACTCTAACTGCTCTTTAGGTTGTAATTCAAAGGGGCCAGTTTAAATCTGAGGTAATGTTTTTGTCTGATTTGGATTAGAAATCTAGCTGTTGATGTTTTTTTAGAGCTGTTCACCATCTTGGCAGAACTAGTCTTTTTCAGGTTTATGTACATCTCTTTCCAAAAAATTATATATGTCTGTGCTTGTTTGATTCTGCCCCAAGTAACATAGTACATTACTTGACTATTTCAAAGGTATTTAATAGAAAATTTGTCCTGTTTCAACTTGATTTATTTCCTAGTATAATATATCAGAATTGCAGTATGGTTTGCTGTGAATTTTACTGGCAGAAACTTGCCTATTTGGTAATACAGACATCAACTTGATCCTTGTTTCTCATGGCCAGAACTAGCAAAACCCTAGATGAATGTAGAAGTGACTTTAATGTTTTCTTACAAATATTAGAAAATTATTGAATTGAACTGAAGTCCAGTCTGATCTAGCATTCTGTTTGGACAAATTCTTCTGAGATGTTATAAGTGATGTACTAAGATAACAGCTGTCTTTGGCTCAGTCATCTGTTATTTATAGGAATGCTGCGTCTGGATCTGGAAGCTCCATGTTTCCATCCTCAAATATATCATATCATCTGATGCAGTAGAAGCAATTTGTTACATGTTACTTCTTTAAATTTTCAACAAAGGAATTTACCTCCTGTAATGCAGCTTGTTCCATTGTTTGAAAGCTTGTTTGGGCAAAAAAATTTAAATACTCCACTTTTTCTTGTCATCGGAAACCAGTAATTCTGATCCTACTCTGTGGAGCAAGATAAGTCAACTTGCCAGCCTTGTAGTATTTAGAGATAAATATTATGTCATCTCCTATTTATCTTTTTTCCGAATTAAATGTACTTTCCCCATAGAAAGTCTCCTTTGACCTTTCCTCAAAGAACTTAGACTTAACAATTTTTGTTATTTTGCACTGGAGATGTTCCAATTTGTCAGTATTCTGCTTAAAATTAGAGTCTTCACAACTACGTGCAGTGCCCCAGGTAAGGTTTAACCAAAGCAGAATTGAATGGAACCCTTTATTGCAATCTGAATGCCATACTTACCCTGAGTAATCTAGGCTCAACGTAGCATTTTAGTCACTGTACTTTATAGGTAATGTCTAGTTGTGTTCTACTAAATGGCCCAGATCTTTTTCACAGCTTCTGCTGTCATGGAAAATGTCAGCCATCATGTATCTGCACAACTGACTCTGTCTAAATACAGAACTCCCTACCCATTTTAAGTTCTTTTGCAGAATTAATGAACATCCATTTTCCTCCTTTGTTCAAATCAGCTATAAGGGTCAGTACTGGACCTAGGGCAGGACATTGTGTTATTACATTTGTTACTTCTTTTCAGATTAGTGAGGAGTCATTGATAAACATTCTTCATGGCTGCTTGATCTCCAGCTTTTTTGAGATCAGCCAAGGTGGGCTAAGTTTCTCAAAATATGGCGATATCTCTCAGAAGGAATGGAGGATAAGAAAGCAAGTATAGGTTTATGTAAACTGCACAAGTCTTTTAGACTTCCATTAGGGTTCCACTTGATATTTGCAGAATAAATTTCATAAAATTTACACATTTGTTTGTAGTTTTCTTTGCTTTCAAGATTGATATTTTACATGGTAAGAGTGGCAAAGAAGCTGAATTTAAGAATGGACTTCAGGGGAAGTCATGGAATAATGGTAAGTTATGGGGAGTTGAATAGGTCACTTGTCCCATTTGTTGTCCTTTGATAATTTACTCAACACCTTTTCAAGACCTCATATCTGAACATTTGAAACATTGTTCCATTCTGCTACCATCCTTCTGAAAAGTTGAAGGTTCATATTTAAAATTATAGAAAGAAAGATGAAATTTTGTATGTTTTGTTCTGTGTCAAGATTGTCCGATATCCTTTTTTTAAACACAGCACACATTGGGATGGAGTAAACCAAGCTCAGATTAAGCCCTGTAAGAATTGAATTGCTATATGTCAGTAAACATCTGTGCAATCTGATAACAGCAGTAATTATTCTTGATGGGGTTGTGCTCTCCTAGAGGAGTTAATTATGATCTGGGGGGACTTCTAGACTCACAGCCTCACAAATAGCTGGTGGATGCTATGGCCAGGAGGGCCTTTGCCCAACTTTGTTTGGTGTACCACTTATGGCCCAATGTGGACCAGGATGTTCTAGCAACCTTAACACAGACCTTGATCACAGTTGGATTACCATAGTGTGCTCCACATGGGGCAGCTTTTGAGATGACCCAGAAGCTACAACTAGACCAGAACATGATGGGTAAACTACTGGCAAGTCAACTGCTGGCAACCCTTACCTTTAAATTCCTGCAGTGATTACCAGTAAGCTTCCAGGTCCAGCTTAAAAGTACTGGGTGTCACCTACAAGGTCCTGGATGGCATAGGATCTGGATATGTCATGGACCACCTTACCAGGATTGAATTTGCACAGCTGGTTCAAACATTTTGAGAAGGCCTGCTGAGAGTTCCCACCGATGTGAGAAATAGATGGCAGGAATTTTCCATTGTGGCCCCCATTGTTTTGCTTTCATTTCCCTCGGAGGCCCTTGCAGCATCTTCCTTCTTTGCATTTCATAAATAGTTAAAACAACTTTGTTCCATTATTCTTTTAACCCTAATTACGCATTGATGGACATTCATCTTGGGTTGATTACTTTTATGGTGCTGCTTTTTATGTGGTTGCTTTGTTATACAGGTAGTCCTTGTTTAGCAATTGCCTCAAAAAGCAACCATTCACAGTTATGACTGATAAAAACATAACTTTGCAACCAATCCTCGCATTTACAACCTTTGCAGGTCTGGAAAGTAAAGGAAAGCTGAAATGAGATCATAAGCAAAGTCATGGTTTCACTTAATGACTGCTTTGTTTAATGACCAAGTTGCTGGTACCAATTGTGGTTGCTAAACAAGGACTATCTGTATATTGCCCAGAGTCTTCAGATTGGGATGTTTTACAAAAATTGTAAATAAATAAATATTGATAAACTTATTTTTATAAAGTTGATAAACTTTATATGTTTTTATAAAGTTGATAAACTTTATATGTTTTTATAAAGTTGATAAACTTTATATGTTTTTATAAAGTTGATAAACTTTATATGTTTTTATAAAGTTGATAAACTTTATATGTTTTTATAAAGTTGATAAACTTTATATGTTTTTATAAAGTTGATAAACTTTATATGTTTTTATAAAGTTGATAAACTTTATATATATATTTTTCTATAACAAGATCTAATACAGGTAGTTCCCAGTTTAAGAATGAGTTCTGTTCCCAAGGTCTGCCCTTAAGTTGAATTTGTATGTGAGCCAGAACAGTATTATTGTATAAGTAGTATTGTGTAATGAACTCAAACCATTATATAATTAACTCGAATCATTGTGTATTTAACTTGAATTTTGCTACAATAGGCACCTTAACTATGGGTTGTCTTTAAACCAGGTGTTCTTAACCCAGAGATTACCTGTAAAGAACTATATTAAACTATATTTACTTGTTGCTTTTAAAATTCTAGGTTAACAAATTTCTGACTTATTTTGATCTTTACTGTACTTGCCCTCAGATAATTTCTTTGGCTATTGTGACAAAATACGCCAGGCAGTCTCAAAATTCATTCAGATATACAGTGGGGCAAAAAAGTATTTAGTCAGCCACCAATTGTGCAAGTTCTCCCA